AGAGAGGGACACCAAGCAGGGGTTATTAGGGTTATAAGTTGGGTCCTGCCCCCACCCACCAACAGATGGATAATGTCTATATCATAGTTGTATACAGCCCTAAATGTTATTAAACCTTATTAGAGGCTGCTACTGGGCGGGGGAATACCCAGATGATGAGGGTTATATGAGGTCATATCATATAGTCCCCCTCAAGTAGATAGAATATGGCTTTGGTTACATTATAATGAGATCCCCATCTACCTCATAGTCGATCTACTTAAGGGGGATCTACCCTAATTGCTGTCTCACGTTGCAGCCCGAGCTTCCCCTGGACTACAGCCCAAGGGCCCGGAAGCCAAGCGCAGGAGGATTTTTCTAGGCATGCATGATGCTCTCTTGCAGGTTCCAGGAAGGAGTCTAAGGACCATAAGTGAGGTTATAATAGCAGCCAGCTAGTTGATCATGAAGTGGCCAGTGCTAGGTTGAAAAACCATGAACGTCCTTCAGCTGTAGATTTCATGTTTGCCACAAGACCGTAGCATGTACCGGTTTTTGGAGCTCAGACTCCGGAATGAGACAGTTTCGATTAAAGCCCCTCATTTTGAAAAGGCCGCCTTCAATGGGCCCCCGTAGCGCCCAATAGCCCTCAAGTGGCCCCAGAAGTCCCTGACGGGGCCCATATCGACCCTATGACCTAAGATTCCCCGGCTTACAATCAAGCAGGCTCAGCCTAGTCTGGGGATCTTGAGATGGCAAGAAATGGACACACCAATAGCTCGGATGGAAGGTTGATACAGAGCGGGCTCAAGGACTTCCCTTTTTTGCTAAGTGCTGTAACTTGGCACGGTGGTGTTCATGCAGCAAATCCCAAAGGCTTCAGATATTCCATTGTAGGTCATATTCATAGACTTCGCGGCCCAATGTCGGTATACAATATTTATAGACATGGAGCCCTAGGAAATATGTAGATGCATGTGTTGTTTGTCATTTTCAGGCTCCGGTATTTCAGAGCGGCATCTCTTGTACCTCGGGAGTTGTGTCTCAACATGTTCGGGAGCAAGGTTCTGCTCCCAACTAGTATAGGATCCGCACCTACTTTGCCAGATCCTCTTGAACTCCACGGCCGTATCTGGACTTGAAAAGTCTCCAAAACCACAAAAAGGGCCGGGAAACAATGTTTACTAAACATGTGATGCTACATACTTTTTCAGTTCAGGTAAAGCCTCATTCTTCTCAACAAGCTAAGGCCGCAGCTGGTGCTGGCTACAGCCCTACAAACGCTATGCCGCCCGGCTGGCAAATTAAGCGAAGCATGATTCTTGAGAGCTACAAACCAAGGTGTAAAGCTGTTCAAAGCCAGGTGTCCCCCTTGCAATAACTTCCGCAATGACAAGCATTCGCCTGTCAGTTAACAGCAATGCATTTGCGATATTGCCGGGGTGGCAGGGTTGCTATTCTTTGGCTTACGGCTTGACTCTGAAGCGGCGCGAGCCGACAGCCTCCTTCATTGTTGCTTGCTGCCATCAAGAGAGTAGTATCTTATTTGGGGATACTATGGTACCCAATATAGAGTAAGATTGTATCCTCCTTTTGGGGTATAAGGAAAATAATATTACTGGGTTCAACCACCAAAAAAAAACGGTACTCAAGAGAGGTTGCGGACCGGAATTGGCTCTTTAGACCTTAAACCAAGAGTTTCAGCATCTCTCGCCTACAATCGAGGCCGGGTAACTGCTTGACTGGATAGAAATGATGGCAGTTTCATGGAAATCCTCCCAGACCTTGCTAGCTCGAACCATCCAGTGTAGATTTGTCTTTCTTTGTTTATGTTTGCCGCAGTTGCTACTGCGTTTACTGTCTGAGAGCTCAGGCAGTACCTCCCGCCGTTTCCCATGACGCCCAGCACGCTTCGTCCAGCTGGCATGTGCAATCCGCAGACAGTCTTGCAAGTCTTGCAATTAGCTAGGACCTTAGACCCATAACCTTTGGGGTTCCAATATGTTCCTATTACAGGGAATTAAAACTTAGCTTGTAGTAGGGGCGCTGAGTGCCACGGTGTTGTTTCTTTCCGAGGCATGATGATGTCCTCTAAATACAGTAGAGCTTAATCAGCTCATCCCCCCTTTACAGTAGCAGCTCAGCATTGTTTTTGCCTCAGTCCCCTAAACCCTGCATCGCTAAATCCCGGTTCAGGGTTTAGGATTTAGAAGCCCTAGACCCTCAAACCCAAAGGAGACCTGTCTTAGGCACACGCCTGCAGCTGCTCTTTTCCGGGAAGGTGTGCCCATGTTCATGAATCATGTGGGAAACATGGACTGTAGCTTAAATAGATCTTGATATTTGGGGTTCATCTAGGCATTGGATAGGGATGAACGGGCATTGTTTAGGAATTTCGTTGGATGATTTGAAAGGGATATAGCGGATCATCGTTTAATGGATCTAAGCCCTCACGGGTTTAGCGTTTAGGATTTGGAAACTTGCCGCATTAGCTTGCACAAGCGAGCTTCGGAGCTTTGACGCACTACTGTTGAACACTGCGTACATCAACTACACGAGCCATGGTAAAAACTCCTAGTATCCTCTTAATCATGGTAGTCCCCTTACAGGGTCCCCTATATAACCCCCTGGAAGGAGTTTAGACAAAAGCTCACATGGCAAGCCTAACAGCACCAATGTTCAGCCATTTGAAGACCGTAAATCCCAAGTTCAAACTGCAAGCCCTGAAGTGGGTAATCTTAGGGTTACGTTGGGGTTACATGGGGATAATGGACAAGAAAATGGAAACTACTATAATGGGTTATATAGGGTTTAGGGTATAGCCGCTATAGCCAGCTTCAGAAGCTCACTTTGCTTCTGCGTCACTGCGTAATCACTGTATGAACCCCAAAGCACGCCATCCCTAAACCCAAAGCCCAAACCCACCTGAAACCCTAAACCCCAAGCCCTACGCCTTGAATCCTGCACCCAAAGCCCTAAGCCCTGAACCCTAAACCCTAAACCTTACGCCCCAAGCCCTAAACCCCAAGCCTTAAGCCCTGAATCCTAAACCCTAAACCCCAAACCCGAAACCTTAAGCCTGAGCCCTAAACCCTAAGCCCTGGACCCTAAACCCCAAACCCTTAACCCAAAGCCCTGAGCCCGAAACCCTAAGCCCTAAGCCCGAAGAGCCCCAAACCCTAAGCCTTGAGCCCTACACCGTAAGCCTAAGCCTCACACCCCAAAGCCTAAACCCTGAATCATAAACCCTTTGCCCTAAGCCCCTAAACCGTAATCCCAAACCCAAAGCCACCCGCCTTGGCCAGCTGGCACTGACCTCGCAGCTCATGCTTTGAGCCAACAGGCACGCTCGGGGCAGGAGAGCTTTAGCTTCAAACATGCAGTATAGGGTTTCCAAAATTGATGTGGTTGTGTGTCATGATTTTTTTTTGGGGGGGAGGGGGGGAGGGGGGGAGGGGTGAGCATCATAGATTATAGTATTTCGGGGGTCTTGTCATTTATGATGGAAACTACCACTTCTGGATGTCGGACCATGTAGTCGGACACCTGTCGCTGAAGAGGAGCAAGTGGCTCACCATGTTCGCAAGATCAGCATGTTTTCTGACCCAAGGTCTTTTTTAACAAGTAACAACTACAGTATCAACAATATTGTAATCAAAATGAATTGTAGGAATGGGGTTTAATCCGGGAAATAAAGAGACTGTAGCAATAGCAATCCTGTAAACTAAGCGTTTAGCGTTTAGCGTGCCGCCCCACTACCTGTTGTTGCTTGGGATATGTTGTGGATGGAAGCATTCCTTCCAGTGCATGAACTCGACATGAAGTACTTGTTCTAGAGATAATCAACGTACCTAAGCCTAAACCCTAAACCCGATTGGTGCTGACAGTTAAAGGGTTTGGGGTTTAAGGTTTAGGGGTTTAGGGTTTAGGGTTTTGGGTTCAGATGAAGCTGATAGATGCGACCTCGATACCCTGACGATCTTTACATGGTTGCCCCAAGTCAGTGTTCTGTCAGAAGCCCGGTTGTACACGTCAACGGTTTAGTGTACTTAATGGGTCTACAAGCGCAGACGCCAATTTCCTCAGCGGATCCTGCAATGTCGCAGCTGGGGGCAAGCGTCGTCGGAACGCTGAAGCCCAAGACAAAGTTTAACAAACTTGGACTTAAATTAGGGGAGCAAGGTAGCTAACATAGATCCAATTTAACCTCAATAGAGCCCCTATCTAACCCCTATATAATCCGAATAGAAAATAGCAGTTTTCATTTTACTTCCATTCTCGTCGGTCTTTGGGCTCAAAATCCACGTTTTCCCTAGAAGGCGTTTCTCTAAGAACTGTAGGAGGGACCCCTAATAAGTACCCTGGAAGCTTATTTAGGCTAATATGGGAACTACCAGGAATATAGGGACTATAATGACTATATACAGGTTATATATGGCAATGGGATTAAGGGTCCCTGTTAACTAGGGGTCTTTCCTAAAGTCCTGGGAGTTTCTCTGTTCGGATGGAGCCAGATCCCAAAGATCTTGTGGATCGCGCCGCCGGAGCCATTCTCGGAGTTTTCATAGGGGATGCCTTGGGCGTGGCTGGCTTGAATTACAGTCTAGGGTGCAGGTTACGGAAAGGAGGAATGAATCGCTGTAGTAGTCTTGTATACGGCTTTAGAACGGAATTACCTATGTTGTCACTCCTTCATTTCCTACTAAGTGCTACTAAGCCCCAGTAAGAAGTTGTTTAAGACACTTGTTTCATCTTGTTGCTATCCAGGATGGAGGAGGACAAGACTTGTCCTTGGGTGCCGGAGTGCTTCACATGCGTCAAGTGTAGGGTCCAACTGCTCTATAGATCTATTGGGGTCATATTTGGATATTGGACAATAAGATAGAAACCATTATTTGGGGTTTAGGCATTCCGCCCCACCCTAGGCATAAACTTCTAGAGTGCTTGTGGTGCTGGTATTCTGTATTAGCAGGAACTTTATGAGACTGATCTGGAGTTGTGGAGCCAACTAACACGCCGAGGTTGGTGTGCACTGGCAGTATGACCTGGATCAGCTGGAGAAGGACCTTATCAGAAGTCTTCCCAAAAGAACACTAGAGAGACGTTGACATAAGTGTTTGCCCCCTCAGTTCGATCACTATGGTATCCCGAAGGACCGCGGCTTTGTGACCGGCTATCTGGACCCTCTGCCCGGGTCTTTCCACTCAGGCCAGCCAAAAGCTTTTTCTGACCTGAAGGTCCATCACCCTGTAACCATAAACTTACCCAAGCACCGTATTAGCAAAACCCAAATCCCGAGTACCCGTTTATTGTGTACTTTTACCTGCAGGGGTTTCACCTGTGATAAGGGGTTTTCAGCCATGAATGCTTATGAAGCCATGAGTACAACAGATCGTTCACCGGGGTCTTGGTTACGAGATTTCCAAGTCCTGTGAAGCAACCCTTTGAGCCCTAAGGTCTATCACATTGTCTACTTGGGGATGTTTGGGTGAAGGGGTTTGGCTTTGTCACCTGCAGAAGAGTTCAAGTTTACAATTCCCCAATCTATAGCATGGAACCCCAAAAGAGACCCTATCAAGAATACCGTCATGGAGCCATGCGGGCTTCCATACAGGTTAAGGGAATGGTACTGTTTGTTGCTGCCAACCTAATAAGCCTTGAATCCTAAACCTTGCACTGTTGAATGAGACTACGGTTTGATATGACGCAATTTTCATGCGTCATAGGAGAAATGGAATCCACGCACATTGGGCTCCAGCAGGAGAACTGATTGGAAGACGAGAACAGCCGCTACCGCACAAACTCATCAAAGTACCAAAGTCCATGTCTGTACTGTAACCACAAAACTTTCAGAACGACTACCCGCATCAATTTCCTATCACTTCTACCCCAAGCAAGAAATGACAACACACCAGGTCTTGAGCTTGTAGCTGTCAGGGTGCTAGAAACCATGAAGGCTTGAAAGCAAAAGCCTGTTGGCTTAAGTCTAAAGTGCTACCCCAAATATTTGTACGCCGGCTAAGAGCAAGTGAGGATGATGTTGTCTAGAAAGAACGGGGCCACTTCATGCTTGGAGGATGTGGCTGTCTTGTTCTTGCTGTCATGTTCATACATTCGTTATATATTCTCAAAGTTGTTATTGTCTTGGTTATGTATGTTATTGCTATAGGCACGCAGCATGGGACCATCAAGCAACCCCTTAACCCTAAACCATTAACCCTAAACCCTAAAACCTACACCATCAAGCAATCCCTTAAGCAATGAGGCTTTTCCGGCTAGAGCTCGGCAATCTTCGGTAAAGGATATTAAAGGGTCGTAGTCGCAATGACGCGCGCATAATTATCCTAAACTGTAAACCCTAAATAGTAGTTTCCATTCTCTTTTCCATTATCCCCAAAAAGACATTATATCTCCTACATAATCCCTCTAGTTTCCATTTTCTTTTCCATAAAGTGGGAGCCCCCTAAGCATCCCATATTTGGGACAAACTTGCAAGATGTCCCGTTTTGTTGAAACCCCCAATAAGTAAGATTCTGAGATCACTTATTGCTATTCTTTATTCAAGGGGTTGGAATCCCCGCCGAAACCCAAAGCCGTCCTTGCTCAGGGACCAGCGATGCCCCGGGAAGAGGACAGCTGAAAGCTGGGCAGCTTGAACAACAAGGTGAAGCGTCTCTGCGGCATTCTTGACTCGAGCGGCCTCAAAATTTAGGGTCCTAATTTCCTCCAACTTTGCCCCAAACAATTTTACCAGTATATTACCATTGCAGATCTGGTGCGTATGTCTTAGTAGGTGGTTGGGGGCTCATCACACAGAGGAGGTGAGTACTCACAACACGGATTGTCTGGCCTACTTTCTGAAACTTCCATTGCCCCGCAGGGTTCTCACAACCCTCCACTTAAGAGTACTTCTGATCCCACACAAACCTCCCAACTTCCAAGCATGCCTCTGCGCCTTAAAAACAATTGCTTCACTTCCCGAACCATTTTCTTTTCCAATATCCCAATAGAACCCCAATATATCCCCTATCTAATCCCTACAGTTTCCATTTTCTTTTCCATTCTCCCAATATAAATACCATCCTATTCCCTTTATAATACAGTAGTTTCCATTCTCTTTTCCATTCTCCCAATACAAATACCATTAAAAACACATAGTCCCTCTATAATCCCTATAGTTTCCATTTTCTTTTGAATTATGTACAAAACCCTAAACCCTGAACCCCAAATCCTAAACCCTAAACCCTAAACCCGAGTTACACAACTACCCTGAGAGCATTTCAGGTCACAAAGCTGCTCCTTCAAAGCCTTGCCAGTACCTTGGCTGTTTAGGGTTTAGGGTTTAGGATTTAGGATTTAGGGTTTAGGGGTTTAGGGTTTAGGTCTTATTGGTGGTTTTCGTGTGGTTTTATAGGGGTTATATAGGGGAAACTACGGGGATTACAGGGTTATATAGCAAGCAGAAGCTAACCCCACACCTCATACCCTATACTCCCCCCTACACTTTCACCCCATTTTTCAAACCGCCTAACATTTCAACCCTTAAATCCCTCAAAACACAAAGCACCTACCAAAACCAACACAATAATCCCGAAAACAAAGCAACCCACCAACCCCAAACAACAATCCAGAACACAACCCAAAACCCAAAGCACCTAAACAATA